ACACCCCACCTTGGGTTAATAAAAATATTATGATATGTGTAATTTGAAGACATTCAGAATATTACATCACATTTTATAAGAGTTATAACTGTTTAAAATTTTGGCCCTCAGATATTGCCCATCTCCGAACTCGATTAAAATTTGATCATAAAATTATGATATACCAAGTATGGACCGAATCGGATACTTCCTTCGAGAGTTATTGCACCATGCACCAGCCAGACAGACAGACTGGCGGACGGACATCGCTAGATCGATTCCAAATGTCCTGAAACGGATTTGGTCCAAAAAGACGAAGGGTCTAAAACCGTTACTTTGATGAGGTGCGTTTTGGCCTATCAAATGATATATAACCTCTGTAGCCATATGGCTGAGAGTATAATAACTAAATCATAGGTGAGCATGAAGGTGTTTTAGTGCACTAGTTTAATTTTAAATTTCTCCTTCTGGTACCTTCCCCACAAAGGGTCGAAATGTTCAAAAAAATATTTTACTGCAAAGAAAGAGAAGGGGTAGTCCGATTTTGCACCAACTTTGCAAATCCTTATATTTGCATCAGTGCTAGGTCAAGTGTGAAAAGAGACAATATTGACCACTCCATCAAGTACCACCCCCACAAAGGGTCAATGTTTTGAATAATTATACCTCTGAAAATTACACACATCTCTTTATTTTTATTAACCCAAGGTGTGAAGAATGAAGGTCCACAAGGTCCACACCTTCTGGCACATCCCCCACAAAGGGTCAAAGTTTTGAATAACCAAAACGATTATAAAATCCGAAATATTCCTCCGGTTCCCTTCATATTTCAAACAATCCATTATTTCTACCAACACAAGATCTGCTGTGAAGATGGGATATATCGGTCCACTCCTTCTGGTACATTCTCCACAAAGGGTCAAAATTTACAATATCCATGAAGCTCATAAAACACGAAATTATCATCCGATTCCATTCAGACTTGGCACACCTCAATATTTGCATCAACACAAGATCCGTTATAAAGATGGTAGAGATCGGTCCATTGCTTCTGGTACCTTTCCCCACAAAGGATCAAAGTTTTGAATAACCAAAACTAGTTTAAAATCCGAAATTTCATTTATTTCTACTTAGGTACTATCTGCTGTAAGGACGGGGTATATCGGTCCACTCATTCTTATACCTCCCCCACAAAGCGTTAAATTTTAGAATATCCAGGAAGCTCATAAAATGGGAAATAAACATCCGATTCCATTTAGACTTCGCATATCTCAATATATCCATCATCGCAAGATCTGTTATAAATATGGTAGAGATCGGACCATTTCTTCTGGTACCTCTCCCACATAGGGTTCAAGATTTTGAAAAACAAAACTCTCAAAGAATGCGAAATAAGCGTCTAACTCTTTTCAAATTTCACACACACAAACATTTTTGCTCACACAAGTTCTGTTGTAAAGATGATATACAGGGTGAGATAAAAAAAACTACAACCAACTTCAGACTGCTGTCATTTGTAAGCCACTCGTCCGACAGCTGTTAAAATGTGAATAAATCCTTTGTGTCTCGTACCAACGCTCGATACTAGTAGCGTAGCCCGACGTCAAGGAAGCCGCCATAACAGCCGATGGTCGTTCTCCGCTCGTATTAATCAACCGTGGCATCAGAATAAATGCCGAGTATTATCGCGAAAATATTCTGGAGGGTGTATTCAAGCCTTGGGCACGCAAATATTTTGACCGCTCTCAGCACGCGCCACCCAAGAATGGTTACAAAATGAGGTTTCTCGCTTCATTTCCAGCGCACAATGGCCACCAAAATCTCCGGATATCAATCCGTTGGACTATTGTGTCTGGTGTAATTTGAAAAGCAAGGTTGGCACTAAAAAATACCAAATTGTCGATCACCTCAAGCATGCGCTTCACCGGGAATGGGCCAAAATACAGCACAGCAACATTCGGGCAGCGTGTGACGGTTTCATTGGCCGTTTGAAAGCCATAATTCGTGCCAAAGGTGACTAATTCGAACAAATCTAAACTTATTCTAAAATGTAATGCTATTTCCGACATTTTTTGCTTTCATTCAATAAAACTTAAAAATATTTATATAAAAATTATGGCGTTTGACGTTGTTGCAGTTTTTTTATCTCACCCTGTATATCTGCGAATCCTTTCTAGTAACCTAACCTAAAAAGGGCCACAAAACTTCTATCTGTCATAACTTGCGAAACAAGTCAGCGATTCTTTACACGTTTCTATATTTAAATATTTGTCCAAAACCAGAAACCTGAGATCAATATGGAATTTATAGGAATTTATGATTTCGCATAAAATTAGATATAAATGTTCGATTTTCTTGTAATTTTGTCCATGCGAATATTTTTATCTGTATTAGATGCATTAAGAAAATGGAATATTTCGGACGTCTATATCTGGTACCTCACGCACATTTCAAACATTTTCTAAAAATTATCACCTAACTCATATAAAGTTAAGGAAGTAGTCGATATTGGTCAAACCTGCCACGTCGGAATATTTATATAATATTTATTTAGGACCAATACGAAATGGACAATATTGGCCCATTCCTTCCGAACCCACTCCATAGAGGTTGAACAATTTGAATAATCATAACACAAGTGAAAATATATTTAAATAATCGAACAATGGTTGAGAGTATACATCTATCGGCAAAACCGAGAGATACTTTTTAACTTGTCTTTTATATGTAAATTACCACATCTGTATCTTCTCCAGGTCTTGTAAAAAATGTACGTACAACGAATTTCAAGTTGTTTGCCCCGCCCACCCATGTTTTTTGTTTGCATCCAACTATCATAACTTCCAAGAATTTTTTTTTTGGTGGTATCTAAGATTTATCTTATCAAAATTTATCTCCTGCCAATCTTGAACGTGTGCAAAATATCTTGGAAATCAATAGCTATTTTGGCAATAAGTTCGATACATTACCAAAAACTGACTATTGCGTTTTTCCTATAAATATTAAACTGAATTGGGAAACAAGTATCAGTTCCTTTCCTGCTTTCAAATCAGCAACTAACTTTCAATAAAACAAAATGAAATTCGGTAAGTTTTTTTGGAAGTCAGACAACGAAAAGATAAAATTTATGGATCTGGTTAAGAGTGGATGGAGAAAATTTCGATATTTCCTTGCTCCTCATATTTGTAATATCAGTTCCTTCCTTGGTGTGCTGGCCTAATTACCGAAATTAGCTGCCTTCAAAACCTCCCTTTCCTTTGGAGTGTCTTTTGTCTGACTCAAAATCTTTTTTCTTCGTCTTCTTTTTCTAGTCATCTGCTTGGCTCTCTTGGCTTGTCTCATTGCCTGCGGCATGTGCTGTGATGTTGATAGCAACAATATGCCCTCTTGCACCACCAAAAATGTGAATGTACCCGTTCGCAATTTCTGGGATCCTACCGGCTACTGGGAGTGCAAATCGGCCACTGGTACCGCTGAAATGGTCCACTGTCCCGATGCCCAATTGTTCGATGAAGCCAAGGGTCAATGCATTGCCTGGAATGAATGGACCTGGACCAATCCTTGCCCTGTTGCCAACTAAATAGGGATGTTCTACACTTGTCAAAAAAATTTGTATTTAAAATAAATAAAATTTAATCAAAAGCAATTTTTTTTTATCAATTAGATACCTCTTCGGAAGGAATACTTGAAGGGGGAATTATGGTTCGGCAGGGCCGAACTTTCAATACAAAAATTTTTTAAATTTTTCAAAAAAAAAAAAAACCTCTTAATAATTCTTTTGAAATCTCAAAAATACCGAATGTAGCCTTTATATTAGGGTCTACATGACGACGTGGACCTGTATAGGCACCTTTTCATAAGCCATTACAATATTTAATGCCGAATCTTGAAAAAAAATCGTTGAATAATATAGCTAAAATCATCAAAATACCGAATATAGGGGCTATATCAAAACGTGAACCTGCATTGACAATTTTCTGTCATAGGCTGTAGTATCCATTACGAACTTCAAATACCAAATTTGGAAAAATTCCGGTGAATAATGTCGATAAAATCAATCAAATACCGAATATCGGGAGGTACTGTTATATGGGGGCTATACGAAGCCGTGAACCTGCACGGACAATTTTCTGTCATAGGCTGTAGTATCCCTTACGAACTTCAAATTCCAAATTTGAAACAATTCCTGTGAATAATGTCGCTTAAATCATGGAAATGCCGAATATCTATGGGTAATTCTCTTCCAGAGGGTAAAGTACTCACAAGGAACTCCTTATGTAGAACTTCAGACGATTTCTTAAAAAAATGAGGCTAAAATCCTCAAAATACAGAATGTCGTTATATGGGAGCTATACGATATCGTGGACCTATATAGACAATTCTTTTTCAGGGGGTAAAGTACTCACGAAGAACTCCTTGTGTAGAATTGTAGACATGTCCATTAAAAAATGTGGCTAAAATCACCAAAATACCGAATGACGGTAGGGACCATTATATGGGGAATATACGATATCTCGCAGCCAGCATATAGACAATTATCTTCCAGGGGGTAAAGTACTTACAAGGAAATCCTTGTGTAGAATTTTAGATGATTCCATAGATAATTCTCTTTCAGGGGGTAAAGGAGTCACGAATAAAAAAACCATCAAAATACCGAATATCGGCATCGAGGGCCGATATAGCCCATCTTCGAACTTGATCTGCCTGCAGACATATGACAGATCCGTGCAAAGTTTTATCTTCTTATCTTTATTCGCTTTGACTCTAGCGTGATTACAACAGACGGACTGGGCTAAAGCGTCTTAGAATTTGAAGCTGATCAGGAATACAGGTTGGGATGAAAAAACTTCAACCAATTTCAGACTGCCGCCATTTCTAAGCCACTCGTCCGACAGCTTTTAAAATTATTCCAGTGACAGCTCATTATATTGTTTACAAGCGGACAAAAACATTTTGGTGAGAATTTTCCAGAAAAAAAGTTATTCGTGATGGTGGAATTCAAGCGGGACTGTGTGATTTCTTTATATTTGGCTGGAAAACCACAAGTGGCTATCGTTAGAGGGCTCCAGCATTGAAACTGGTAGCGTGATGCTGGTAGCGTAGCCCGACGTCAAGAAAGTGGACGGAAGAAAACATCAACATCAGAAGAAATGGTTCGAAAAGTAAAGAAGCGATTTGATCGAAACCCGCGTCGCAGTGACCGAAAATGGCTTGTGAGCAGAACATATCGCAATATTCTATTCGGCAATTATTGAAAAATGAGCTCGAGGTAAAGCCATTTAAATTTCAAAAAGTGCAAGAACCTTCACCGCAACGAAAAGAAAGTAGACTTAAAATGGTGATGGCGTGGGCCGCCATAACTGCCGATGGTCGCTCTCCGCTCGTATTAATCGACCGTGGCATCAGAATAAATACCGAATATTATTGCGAAAATATACTGGAGGGTGTATTAAAGCCTTACCTTACCTTTCTGTATTTTTATACCCTACACCACAAGGTGGTCAGGGTATTATGTCTTTGTGCATTTGTTTGTAACAGGCAAAAGGAAACGAGATAGACCCATAGTTCCTTTTGATTATCTGCATAGAATCACTTTCTGATTTGCATGTCCGTCCGTCTGTCCGTCCGTCCGTCGGTCTGTCCATGTATTCTTGTGAACAAAATGCAGGTCGCATTTATTATCCGATTGAGATGAAATTTTCTAAACAACATTTGTTTGGCCCAAGGACGAACCCAATTGAAATTGGAGATAATCGGTAAAAATTTAGATATAGCTCCCATATATATCTTCGTCCGATTTGCCTTTTATTGTGCACCAAACGTGTAATATCAGTCCGAATAGTATGGAATTTTGCACATACAACCAAATTAGGCCTGAAAATAAGTATGCTAAATTTGATCGAAATCGGTTCAGATATAGCTATATATTGTTCATGCGATTTGTTATTTTTGTCCTCCGCAGCCGTAATATGCACTCTGTAACAACAATATTTGGGGAAATATATCAAATGCAGCTCAGAAATACCTTTGCTAAATTTTATCGAGATCGGTTCAGATTTGGATATAGCTCCCATATATAATTTCTTCCGATTTACCCTTTATTGTGCACTAAACGTCTAATATTTGTCCAAATTGGATGGAATTTGGCACATACGACCGAATTGAGTCTAGAAGGTAGTATGCCAAATTTGGTGAAGATCGGTTCAGATATAGCTATAGCTCCCATATATATTGTTTATCCGATTTGTTATATTTGTTACCCACAGCCGTAATATGCACTCCGTAACAACGATATTCAGGGAAATATATCAAATACAGCTCAGAAATATCTTCGCCAAGCTTTATCGAGATCGGTTCAGATTTGGATATAGCTCCCATATATATCTTTATCTGATTTCAAATTAATTTTGCACCAAACGGGCAATACAAGTCCGAATTTAAAAGATATAATTGCTTCGGCATATTTAGTCCTTTGAACTTTAAATTATAATTATAATCATAGAGTGTATGATTGAATTCTCCCATAAAAACTTTTAATTGTTATGCGGAGCTCAACTAAATTACCAAAGTGGTGTAGGGTATCATAAAATCGGCCCCGCCCGTCTTTAGGACTTTCTTTACTGGTTAAGATTTTAAGAGAATTTTTAACGGATTTTGTTTTTTTAAAAATTGCCAAATTCGTGTCAAATCGTGGAGGGTATTCAAAGTTCGGCCCGGCCGAACTTACAGCTTTTTTACTTGTTTATTTATGCAAACTTGAAATAGAAAAATTTTTTGTTTGTCGAGAAAAATTAGGTCTCCAAACAAAGTGAGTGTGGCTGTACATGGAAATAATGAAAAGCGTGTCAGTTTGCTTTGCAAAGGTTGGACCCAAGCTGTCACCATTTCTCAATAATTGAATTATGTTTGAAATTGTATGGGCGTTGGCCGATAGAACAAAATTTTTATCAGTTATTTAATTCAGACATTTCTGTTTTCTGTTAAGGATTCTGGAAATCAATTAAATTCTATATTTAGACGTTCTCAAATTTTGGTCCAGCCAATATAAATATGTGTGGTCATTGGGAAGTCATAGACATCAATTAGGTCGTTGCGAAGACATACCACGGCTAGGTGAACATGAAATTCGGTAAGTATTCGAGGGACTTCCCTATATGTAATTTTTTTCTAAGAGTGTTTCACTTTCAGTTATTTGCTTTACAATTTTGGCTTGCTTCGGTGCCTCGGTCCTGGCCTGCAATCCCCATGAAAATAACAAGCCCACTTGCAGTGCCAGTAATGTGAATGTACCCATACGCAACTTCTGGGATCCCACTGGCTATTGGATATGTGAATCTGCCGATGGCAATGCTGAAATGATCCACTGTCCGGAAGCCCAGTTGTTTGACTCGGAACAGGGCGATTGTGTCTGGTGGGATGAATGGGAATGGGTCGATCCATGTCCCGAAGATTAAATTTATGTGGAGAAGTTTTTAAAACTTTAAATAAATGTTATAAAAAAAAATTCAGTTTGTGTCTCTTTTGGGTTAAAAAGAACAAATCAAGTGGTATCATAGAAGCGCATAGAAGATACTTAGGCCCTATGAGAGATCCTAAGCTGTTTCAGGAGACCTAATGGTGTTATAGAAGTCACGAGTTCTTATAGATGAGCTTGTAGTGATATAGAACCCCTTGAGTTGATGTTGAAGACTTTCAAAAAATGAGCTCCATTGATATTAAAAATTCTGACCCACTGTGTGGGAGGTACCAGAAGGAGTAACCCGATATATCCCATCTTCACAGCAGATTTTGTGTTGGTAGAAATAATGGGATGTGTGAAATGTGAAGAGAACCGGATGCTTATTTCGGATTTTATAATCGTTTTGGTTATTCAAAACTTTGATCCTTTGTGGACGAACATTTTATACCCTCCACCATTCGGAAGGAACTTGAAAATTAAATAAAAAAATCCATCGAAAAATACCACTCAGTTGAAAACCGGAATTACTTCAAACTTGGTATTTGAAGTTTGTAATTGATATTACAGCCTAAGGCAGGAATTTTTTTGTGCAGGTCCACGTCTTTGTATAGCCCCGGCACCTGCCGATATTCGGTATATTGATGATTTTAGCAAAAATATTCATCAGAATTGTTGCAAATTTGGTATTTGATGTTCGAAGTTGATACTACAGCCTATGACAGAAAATTGTCCGTGCAGGTCTACGTCTCCGTATAGTCCCCATATAAGTGTACCTCCCGATATTCGGTATTTTGATGATTTTAGCGACATTATATACCGGAATTGTTTCAAATTTGGTATTTGATGTTCGTAATGGGTACTTCAGCCTATGACAGGAGATTGTCTGTGCAGCTCCACGTTTTCGTATAGCCCCCATTTGACGGTACCTACCGATGTTAGGTATTTTGATGAGTTTAGCAACATTATTCACCGGAATTGTTTCAAATTTGGTATTTGAATTTCGTAATGGATATTACAGCCTATGACAGAAAATTGTCTCTACAGCCTCTAGCAGAAAAGTGTCTGTGCAGGTCCACGTTTTGGTATAGCCTTCACCGACTTTTTTTCGCATTTGAATATTGTAAAGGCTTACTAAGGACCCTTTTGCAATTCATTGGACTTATGGAGTTATATGCTTTAAGCTCTTGGCTTATATTTTATTAAAACTTTAAACAATAACATTTTGAAAAAATATTATATTTCTGGACACGGTGGCGACCAGACCCATTCATTCCACGGCACACATGCACCCTTGGACGAGTCGAAAAGTTCGGTATCGGGACAACGCACCGTTTCAGGTTCGACATTAGCACCGCGACACATCCAATAACGAGTGGGGTCATCAAAATTACGAATGGGAGCCATCAAATTTCCAGCATTGCATGTTGCTTTATTATCTCCATAGGGATTGCATGCCAGAGCACAGACCAAGGGGGTAAGGAGGAACGATATTGCTAAACAAGCAAAAGTTAAAAAAAGATCATGTGATATAATAATAATAGTAATAATAGTAATAATAATAATAATAATAATAATAATAATAATAATAATAATAATAATAATAATAATAATAATAATAATAATATAATAATAATAATAATAATAATAATAATAATAATAATAATAATAATAATAATAATAATATATAATAATAATAATAATAATAATAATAATAATAATAATAATAATAATAATAATAATAATAATAATATAATAATATAATAATAATAATATAATAATAATAATAATATAATAATAATATAATAATAATAATAATAATAATAATAATAATAATAATAATAATAATAATATAATAATAATAATAATAATAATAATAATAATAATAATAATAATAATAATAATAATAATAATAATAATAATAATACTAATAATAATAATATAATAATAATAATAATAATAATAATAATAATAATAATAATAATAAATAATAATAATAATATAATAATAAGAATAATAATAATAATAATAATATAATAATAATAATAATAATAATAATATAATAATAATAATAATAATAATAATAATAATAATAATAATAATAATAATAATAATATAATAATAAATAATAATAATAATAGTGTATAATAATAATAATAATAATAACAGTGTGATTTCTTTATATTTGGCTGGAAAACCCTAAGTGGCTATCGTTAGAGGGGCTCCAGCATTGAAACTGGTAGCGTGATGCTGGTAGCGTAGCCCGACCGTCAAGAAAGTGGACGGAAGAAAACATCAACATCAGAAGAAATGGTTCGAAAAGTAAAGAAGCGATTTGATCGAAACCCGCGTCGCAGTGACCGAAAATGGCTTGTGAGCAGAACATATCGCAATATTCTATTCGGCAATTATTGAAAATGAGCTCGAGGTAAAGCCATTTAAATTTCAAAAGTGCAAGAACCTTCACCGCAACGAAAAGAAAGTAGACTTAAAATGGTGATGGCGTGGGCCGCCATAACTGCCGATGGTCGCTCTCCGCTCGTATTAATCGACCGTGGCATCAGAATAAATACCGAATATTATTGCGAAAATATACTGGAGGGTGTATTAAAGCCTTACCTTACCTTTCTGTATTTTATACCCTACACCACAAGGTGGTCAGGGTATTATGTCTTTGTGCATTTGTTTGTAACTGGCAAAAGGAAACGAGATAGACCCATAGTTCCTTTTGATTATCTGCATAGAATCACTTTCTGATTTGCATGTCCGTCCGTCTGTCCATGTATTCTTGTGAACAAAATGCAGGTCGCATTTATTATCCGATTGAGATGAAATTTTCTAAACAACATTTGTTTGGCCCAAGGACGAACCCTATTGAAATTGGGGATAATCGGTAAAAATTTAGATATAGCTCCCATATATATCTTCGTCCGATTTGCCTTTTATTGTGCACCAAACGTGTAATATCAGTCCGAATAGTATGGAATTTTGCACATACAACCAAATTAGGCCTGAAAATAAGTATGCTAAATTTGATCGAAATCGGTTCAGATATAGCTATAGCTCCCATATATATTGTTCATGCGATTTGTTATTTTTGTCCTTCGCAGCCGTAATATGCACTCTGTAACAACAATATTTGGGGAAATATATCAAATGCAGCTCAGAAATACCTTTGCTAAATTTTATCGAGATCGGTTCAGATTTGGATATAGCTCCCATATATAATTTCTTCCGATTTACCCTTTATTGTGCACCAAACGTCTAATATTTGTCCAAATTGGATGGAATTTGGCACATACGACCGAATTGAGTCTAGAAGGTAGTATGCCAAATTTGGTGAAGATCGGTTCAGATATAGCTATAGCTCCCATATATATTGTTTATCCGATTTGTTATATTTGTTACCCACAGCCGTAATATGCACTCCGTAACAACGATATTCAGGGAAATATATCAAATACAGCTCAGAAATATCTTCGCCAAGCTTTATCGAGATCGGTTCAGATTTGGATATAGCTCCCATATATATCTTTATCTGATTTCAAATTAATTTTGCACCAAACGGGCAATACAAGTCCGAATTTAAAAGATATAATTGCTTCGGCATATTTAGTCCTTTGAACTTTAAATTATAATTATAATCATAGAGTGTATGATTGAATTCTCCCATAAAAACTTTTAATTGTTATGCGGAGCTCAACTAAATTACCAAAGTGGTGTAGGGTATCATAAAATCGGCCCCGCCCGTCTTTAGGACTTTCTTTACTGGTTAAGATTTTAACAGAATTTTTAACGGATTTTGTTTTTTTAAAAATTGCCAAATTCGTGTCAAAGCGTGTCAGTTTGCTTTGCAAAGGTTGGACCCAAGCTGTCACCATTTCTCAATAATTGAAATATGTTTGAAATTGTATGGGCGTTGGCCGATAGAACAAAATATTTTATCAGTTATTTAATTCAGACATTTCTGTTTTCTGTTAAGGATTCTGGAAATCAATTAAATTCTATATTTAGACGTTCTCAAATTTTGGTCCAGCCAATATAAATATGTGTGGTCATTGGGAAGTCATAGACATCAATTAGGTCGTTGCGAAGACATACCACGGCTAGGTGAACATGAAATTCGGTAAGTATTCGAGGGACTTCCCTATATGTAATTTTTTTCTAAGAGTGTTTTTCTTTCAGTTATCTGCTTGACAATTTTGGCTTGCCTTGGTGCCTCGACCCTGGCCTGCAATCCCCATGAAAATAACAAGCCCACTTGCAGTGCCAGTAATGTGAATGAACCCATTCGCAACTTCTGGGATCCCACCGGCTATTGGATATGTGAATCTGCCGACGGCAATGCTGAAATGGTCCACTGTCCGGAAGCCCAGTTGTTTGACTCGGAACAGGGCGATTGTGTCTGGTGGGATGAATGGGAATGGGTCGATCCATGCCCCGAAGATTAAATTTATGTGGAGAAGTTTTTAAAACTTTAAATAAATGTTATAAAAAAAATTCAGTTTGTGTCTCTTTTGGGTTAAAAAGAACAAATCAAGTGGTATCATAGAAGCGCATAGAAGATACTTAGGCCCTATGAGAGATCCTAAGCTGTTTCAGGAGACCCAATGGTGTTATAGAAGGCCCTAGTTCTTATAGATGAGCTTGTAGTGATATAGAACCCCTTGAGTTGGTGTAGAAGACTTGCAAAAAATGAGCTTTATGGATATTCAAAATTCTGACCCACTGTGGGGGAGGTACCAGAAGTTGTGGACCGATATATCCCATCTTCACAGCAGATTTTGTGTTGGTAGAAATAATGGGATGTGTGAAATGTGAAGAGAACCGGATGCTTATTTCGGATTTTATAATCGTTTTGGTTATTCAAAACTTTGATCCTTTGTGGACGAACATTTTATACCCTCCACCATTCGGAAGGAACTTGAAAATTAAATAAAAAAATCCATCGAAAAATACCACTCAGTTGAAAACCGGAATTATTTCAAACTTGGTATTTGAAGTTTGTAATTGATATTACAGCCTAAGGCAGGAATTTTTTTGTGCAGGTCCACGTCTTTGTATA